TGTTCCACAGTAGCTCTGTACTTTAGACGTGTAGCTCTGTGCTGCTTTTTTAACTGCAGTGCAGTTCATTGCTCATTGTTCTCTGTGATGTTCCTGCTGCTTTTAGGTCGCCCTGCAACTCTTTTTGAGTGACTGCTGGCTTCTCCCCTACTTTCCTTACCAGCACTCTGAGAGCCCATTGTGAAATTTTAGCTGTGTCCCAATTCAGGGGCTGCGTCCTTCGGAGGCTGCATTTAAAGGCCAATTGCATCACAGCAGCGCAACTAGGCTGTCCTATTTCGAAGGAATGTGTCCTTTTTTTCCAATGGTTGGATCCATTGTGTGCTGGCAAGTTTCTGGCTTCGTCTTTAAGGAACTTTAAAAGAACTTGACAGGAGCCCGTGATGCAGCGGTAAGGGCGGGAACAACGGTGCTGTGACACAAACAGGAAATCCGCCACAGAGCAGACCATCTCATTTCAGTTCAGCCTTCATAGACTGCATCCTTCGAGGGATGCAGTCCCTGATTTGGGACGCAGCTCTTGTGTGTCACACCTATCCAGTTATTGGGCTACAGACAACAGACAGGTGAAACAGATAACAAGAAGGCAGGACTGGGGAGGAGACAAAGACCAAAACAACATCAAAAGCACATGGCTGACATAAACCAAAGCACATGGAACAAGAAAACGTCAGGACAAAGTCAAAAGACATTATGTGTGTAAATCTGAAGTGGATATATATATTAAATAACAGAAACAAGGTATTGGATAGAGCTCCATCACTCCAGAGAATGCAGTTCCACTGCTCCACAGCCCAGTGCTGAGGGGCTTTATAGCCCTCTAGCCCACGCCTGGCATTGAGCATGGTGATCTTAGGCTCATGTGTGGCTGTTCCCGAGCATCCCATTCTATTACGTAATACTTTTCTATGAAGATATACACCGATCAGGCATAACATTATGACCACCTCCTTGTTTCTATGCTCACTGTCCATTTTATCAGCTCCACTTACTGTATAGGTGCACTTTGTAGTTCTACAGTTACAGACTGTAGTCCATCTGTTTCTCTGCATACTTTATTAGCCCCCTTTTACCCTGTTCTTCAGTGGTCAGGACCCCCATGGAACCTCACAGAGCAGGTACTATTTGGGTGGTGGATCATTCTCAGCACTGCAGTAACACTGACATGGTGGTGGTGTGTTAGTGTGTGTTGCGCTGGTCTGAGTGGATCAGACACAGCAGTGCTGCTGGAGTTTTTAAACACTGTGTCCTCTCACTGTCCACTCTATTAGACACTCCTACCTTGTCAGTCCACCTTGTAGATGTAAAGTCAGAGACGATAGCTCATCTGCTGCTGCACAGTTTGTGTTGGTCATCCTCCAGTCCTTCATCAGTGGTCACAGGACGCTGCCCACAGGACGCTGTTGGCTGGATAATTTTGGTTGGTGGACTATTCTCAGTCCAGCAGTGACAATGAGGTGTTTAAAAACTCCAGCAGCACTGCTGTGTCTGATCCACTCAGACCAGCGCAAACACACTAACACACCACCACCACGTCAGTGTTACTGCAGTGCTGAGAATGTAATTCATGTCAATCTATAATCTAATCATGCACATTTCAGCTATATAAGGTTATTTATGACTTTAATCATCTGAGTTTACTGAATTTATTAATATTGGGAGTTATATGGGTTACAGTGTTACCCAGCTTAGTTAAGTAGCATGGAGTAAGTAAGAAAGAACTTTTTTCTAGTAAAAAACATATTTGGTACTAAACGTGCAACAAAACAACGCAACACATTGAGAGAAGTCACACATAAACAATGATTTTACAGTAGAACATAAACTACAGTGCATTTAAAACATTGAGCGGAGCCCTTCTCTATTCAACCTGCTGGACAGAAAAAGTACCACATACAGACGTACTTTTGATTTAATTCAATTGCAGCAGCGCAAAAGCAGAAGAAAGCAGATACTTTGAGTCAGAAATGATTTTCACTGCTTTGCTAAGAGATCTAGACTCATAAACATCTTCTAAAATAGTGAAGTGGACGCTCAGCAATTTGCTTGCAGGTGTTAAAATTGTTCTGAGTGCGTTTCTTTAACTACATTTAAAACAAGAAAACAGCCTGCAAAAATAAAGCCTTTGCTGCCCTTTTCCTATTAATAAACTGAGCACATTGGTCCCATTTCTGTTCACTGTCTGCACTCCTAGCAACAAAAGGCTCCTTGTAGCACCGAAAGAAGGTTCTTTCACTTCTAACAACAGCAGGATTTAACCATGCAAAGAACCATTTATGCATGCAAATGGTTCTTTGGTGTTTATGTCTCTATATAGAACGATTGCCTTTACTGAAGAACCCTTGAAGAACTGTTTTTAAGGGTGTAGGAAAACCCAAAGATATGTGTAGTTAGTGGCAGACTGAATAGGTGGACATTTGATGGTCTTTCCTAAGATCAACTGACATCTCTTTAGTCTCAAGAGTATGTGTGCATCTTCACATCATTCACTGAGCTCCTCTAAGACAGAGCCATGTTCCTCCTCTTCTCCCTTAAAGAGGAGTTCCACTGATTTTTTTATAATTTCTGTATGATTAAATCATTAGGATATAAACATGTCTTTTTTTCAGATTTATCACTGTTTTACCATCATCAGCATTGCGTATAAACACATGTAGGCGCGCTGCTCGTTTTGGATAGTAAATAAAATAGCTATATTTGGCTTTATTAGACATCACGAACCCTGGTTCCTATCAGTACATTTGTGAAGAAATCAGAGCTGGTATGTTTCTCATCAAACCACTCTGAATGAATTTGTTCTCAACCATTCAACCGTGCTGACATTTTGAAAAATTGGTGGAATTCCCCTTTGGCAGACAAGTGCAGTATTGTCAGCAAACTTAATAAATTACCTCTGAGGAACAGAGCTGGAACAACTGTTTGTGTGAACAGTAAACAAGGGAGACAGGACACAGCCTTGAGGAGAGCCTGTATGAGTAACCGTATTAGATCGAGAGGGACCTACTTTCACCTGCTGAACAAAACCCACAGAATCAGGCTATTTAATAGGAAAACCTCTCTGACCAGTTGCTGGGCAAGAAAATGGGTCTGAATTGTAATAAAAGCACCTGAGCTTTTGAAGTCTCTCGGTGTGAATAGACAAACTGTAACAAGGTTAAATAGTATTGTTGACTGACCTGCTAGGCTGACTGCAAATTGCAGGGGGTCCAGTAGCCCCCAGGCTTGTGTTAACACATATTCTTTAACCCCTTAAAATCCTAGGCTTATTTTGTAAGCTCAGATCATGCCTTCAACATGGTGGTGGTAGTGTGAGGGAAGACTGATTGAGGGAGGGGGAGAACTCTGAGAACTTGAGCTGGAGTCCTGGGCAGCTTCTGCTTGTAGCTAAAAGGCCGGACCCGCCCGCCTCATAGCTGTAGTAGGACTGGGGATTGGGGGGAGATGGGGTGGCGATGGGGATTGCAAACACTTCATCACGGGAATGGAAGGTGAGGATAGTTTGATCAGAAACAGCCCACTCTAGAGAAACTTACAGACTCAGATGTCTTTACAGTGGTGGTGATAGGAACCAGGGGTCGCCATGACTACAACACAAATATAGACATTTTATTTACTATACAAAACCACCAGTGAACCTACACGAGTCTTCTGAGTTTATATATGCAATGTTGATGACTGTAAAATAGTTGGAAATATGAAAAAATATGGTTTGGGGGATCATTTTGACTTAAAATGATTTACATATAGCCACTGTCAGAACTTGTCTCTGTATTGTTGTCATTTTTAACCTTTTACCATCAGAATTGTCAGTGAAAGTTAAGATCGTTTTTTGCTGCTCCTGCAAAGTTACCATTATGAAGATTAGAGGATTTTGTTTCAGCAGTGGCGACATACAATATGTACAACAGCAGGGTCATGAAGCATGCTGGCAAGATTACAGCTGACCCCTCTCACCCTGGACATCAGGTCTTCCAGGCACTTCCCTCTGGTAGCGCTCATTAACCAAAGTGGACACCATGCACTTTAAATTTAGACTGAAACCAACAATCCTCCCTTCCTGTACAGCATTTTCACAACTGTACAAAATTAATTTTAATGATTTTTTTATGACATCATTCTGTAATACCCTATATACAATAGCATATAAAGGTACAGTCTATATTATTATTATATTATGTCTCATCAGATCCTGCATATATGTACATGTTCACATATTCATCTCTTCAGCTCTTCGTCTCTTTAGCTCTTTTCACATTGACTATTATTTATTCGTATTCTAATTCCGATTCATGAATGTACCATGAATGGATTATTAAAATATGACTTTTATTTTGTTATATGATTTAATACATTTACACCTACATTTTATTTACAAATCAAAGCACCAGTGAGTTTTTAAATGTAATGTTGTTGATGATGGTGATGGTGTTGATGGAAAACAGTGATAAATCTGAAAAAATATTTTTTTAGGGAGGTTGGGGGGGGTGGCCTGTTTTACCTTACATCACCCTGCATGTACCTCTAGGCATTAATGTGTTTTTAAAAGCGTAATAATAACCATTAAATGTAATCACTTTCTGTGAGAGAGCTTGGTTCTTATCACCACCACTGTGAATAATTCTGACTCCAGAGCGGAGCGTTTCACACCAAACCACTCTGAATGACTTTGTTTACATCTCAACCACTTCATTATGTTGATTTTTTTCTGAAAGGTCGATGGAGTTCCCCTTTAACCTGTTACCTGTACCTACATATACTTCTCCTTTAAAACAAATCGTGCAGATCGCTGTAGCTCTTATGTAGACCTTCTTCTCACATCATTTGTCATTTAAGACCACCTGAATAAGGAGGGGAGATGGGGGGGGGCGCTACTGGAGCTTCAAGGCTGAATTCATCTACAAATTGGACTACATGTTAGTTCAGCAGCAGCAAGAGAGAGAGAGAGAGAGAGAGAGAGAGAGAGAGAGAGAGAGAGAGAGAGAGAGGGAGGGAGGGGGGGAGAGAGAACTCGGACATCACATCTGCACACGAAAAGCCTCTCTTTCTCTCTCCTCTCGCAAGGAACTACTTCACTCCAGGAATTAGACCGTCCCTCAGTGGAGACGCGATGGAGAACGCTCCGGAATTCTTAGCGCGCGGTGAGTTTCCTTTTGCGTCTCCTCAAAACTTCGATGTTTTGTGCTGAACTGGATCCTGATAGCCTGAACCGCTGTGTGTAAGGAGTTTGTGAAATATAAAACTTTCGGCTGTGTTTGTTTCACTGTCTCTCCTCATTTACCTCAGCGCTCATCAGCGTCTTCCGGTCCTCCGTTAATGATGCAGCAGTTCATTCTGGCGTCTCAGTTCAAGGGAACTGCTGAACCATTTAAGGTGGAACGGGGAAATTCCAATAAGAGGCTGACGGTTAGGAAGCCGACTTCAGCCTCGTATTAATAACGCTACTGCTTCTGTAACAGTTCGTAAAGATTGATATAAAGGAAAACTTATTATTATTATACACTTATGTGTATTATTTAATACTTAATCGTGTAGTTACTGTGATTATCGCATTATTATTAACTTTGCTATATATATATATATATATATATATATATATATATATATATATATATATATATGTATACACACACACACACACTCACACACACACACACACACACATATATATATATATATATATATATATATATATATATATATATATATATGTATATATATTGATGCTGTTGGAACAAAACCTTGTCGTTTTCCAGTTTTTGACATAATTCAAAATTGCCTATTGCCCTTTACATTCTGCCAAAATTTCATGATGAATGGACCAAAAGGCTCAGAATTACTAAAAAGTCTGGTTCCGTTGACTTACATTAAAAGTATGTTAGAAGTATGTTTTTTCTTTCTCCTGTAGTTATCATTTTGGAGATATGAGGTTTTTTTCTAACAACAGCGATGTGTATGTATGTATGTATTATATTTTACACACACAACACACACACACACACACACACACACACACACATACGCGGAATGGCAACTCTTGTTCTCTTGGCTTTGAAAAGACAGAAATAGTGTTTGAATGACCAGGTAGACCAATTAAAAGTGATCAAGTAATCGCACTTCATACTTCATTGAAATGGATGTTTTGCAGCAGCCACCAAAGTAATCAAAGCTCCTGATGGCTTTGGATGATCATTCCTAAACTATGCTTGTGTTTATTGTCTTGTGTTTCCATTTGGTTTTATCTTCTATATCACTTCAATGTGCTGTTTGCCTTTAATGTCGTGTGATCATTTCATGCTAACTGGACAAGGAGGTGAAATTGAAAATCTTGTTACATCAACATACATTAAAGGAAAGAACATTTCCCTTCTCATATAATGATCCCATTTTAGGGATATAAGGTGTATGCAATGAGCACGTTCAAGAGATGCATGATTTACGTCATTTGTAGGCAAAAAGCCGACTTATTCATTTTTAGTGTCAGGAAAAAATAGAAAATCATACATTCTGAAAAAAAAACCTGCAAAGAAACACCTCAATAGTTCAGTCCAAATAATCAAACACATTCAGGACTCTGGGGTGGGCAGTCCACTGTTCAGCTTCTTTGTTTGATGTGTCCGTCTCCTTTTCTCAGTGAGGTTCTTCTTGACAGCTACACATCCTTTCAGACCCATAGCGCTGAGTCGTCTTCTCACAGTGGAAGGATGGACAGAAACACCTGTGGATGTTTTCAGATCTGAAGCAGCTTGATTTTCTCCTCTCTCTCAAAGATGAAAGCTTTAAGTGCTGTTTATCTGATGGGGCAGTTTTGGGGTCTACCAGGTCTTCCAGGTGGTTGTTAGGAGACACATTTTCTCTGTAGCTTTTGGAAACACCTGTTTTTTCACTTGACTTTCCTTTTGCAAGTGTATTTTTACACATATATTATCTTGTATCTCCTCTGAAATATCTCCTGAAATTAAGGGTATTAATAGGGAATTTGTCCCTCTTCGCTGCAGTAGCAGCCTCTATTCTTCTGGGAAGGATTTACACAAGATTGCTGTGAGGATTTCATTGCATTCAGACACGAGAGCATTAGTGAGGTCAGGTACTGATGTTGGATGGTGAGTTCTGGATCACTCCAACTCATCTTAAAGGTACTGGATGGAGCTCCATCACTCCAGAGAATACAGTTCCACTGCTCCACAGCCCAATGTAAGTCCTTTATACCCCTCCAGCCCATGCTTGGCATCAGGCATGGTGACCTTAGGCTCATGCCTGGCAGCTCCAGGGCACCACATTTTATTTGTCAATGCTTTTCTGTGGAGATTAAACAAGCCGTGTGAACGCCTGTGCTGGGAGGACATTATAGTGCATCTTGTCAAGCACTTTCCTATCTTAAGGGTCGCGTGGGAGAAGCAATAGACATTGTCACGAAGCAGTTTAAGAGAAACCTGGTTCCACACACCTAATGAGCAAGCTGAGGGCGACAGCGGCAGGAAAAAAAACCTCTCTGAGCATGTGATGAAACGCTGAGAGGAAACAAGATCTAAAATGAGGGACTCATCCTCTTCTTAGTGGCACCAGATAATGAGGATATAATCAGAATGAAGTTTACATGCGTGAGAATAAACAGCATACAAGGTAATCGCAGCATAGCACGAAAGATCCATAAGGCTCCGGGAGACTGATTGTGTTGAACATGCTGTCGCTTTCCAGCAAAGAAAAACTGTCCTTTACATTATGTGACAATTTCATGATGAATAGATAAACAGAAATGCTAAAAAAAAATACCTGGAATAAAATATATTAACATTAATGTACATTAAAAATTTAAAATGTTCTTGATTTCTACTATGAAGTGACTATTTTTGTTGTTTGTTTTTTTTGGACAGCGATGATATACAGCTTGTGAGAGATATGAGAACCCAACTGGTTGAAGTTCAAGGCAGATAGCGAACATTTAAAAGGTGAAATATGAGGCCATAAAGATAAGCAGCTTAAGATACTAAAACATTGGTGTCTGTGAAAGCCCAAATCTGCACCTTTTGCCAGAAAAAAAATCTATTAACCAAAAGCCTGATTAACAGGTAGGATTTCAGCTTAGACTCAAATATTAAGACTGTGTTTGAATCCTGAGCGCTGAAGGTTTTTCCACAGCAGGGAGGCTTTTAGAGGAAAGGCTATTCCCACTAGTGTAATTTTCATATTTCTAGATCCTGACAGAGAGCCCTGCACTTGTGAGTGAAGAAGACTGTGATAATTAATGATCAGATATTGTGAAGCAAGACCAAATAGAGATTTATAGGCCAGCAGGACTTTGCAGTCAGTGTGGATTTTAACTGGCAGCTGATGTAATGTTGATGAAGTGTGGCTTATATGTTCAGTTTTTCTGATTGTAGTAAGAACTCTAGCTGCTGCTTTCTGGACTAAATGGATCTTGTTTAGGCACTTAGTGGACCATCCAGTTACCAGGGCGTTTCAGTGGCTAATGGTACAAGTTATTCATTTTTTTCTGAAGATATTTCTGAGCAAATTAGATATAAGATAATTGCATAAGGAAGGTGTAAGTCAGAGGAAAATTCAAAAATGATTAAAAGGTACAGAGAAAATGAGACTCCTAACAACCACCTGGAAGACCAAAACTGCCCCCATCAGATAAACAGCACTTAAAACTTTCATCTCTGAGAGAGAGGAGAAAATCAAGCTGCTTCAGATCTGAAAACATCCACAGGTGTTTCTGTCCATCCTTCCACTGTGAGAAGACGACTCAGCGCTGTGGGTCTGAAAGGATGTGTAGCTGTCAAGAAGAACCTCACTGAGAAAAGGAGACGGACACACCAAACAAAGAAGCTGAACAGTGGACTGACCGCCCCAGAGTCCAGACCTCAACACCACTGAATGTGTTTGATTACTGAGAAGCAGAAAATGATCAAACCAGCTTCTAAGACTGAACTTTGGAGGTGTAGATAAATATTCCTGCAGATTTCCTTGAAAAACTGGAAGCAAGTCTCCTGAAAAGAATGGAAGCGTGACTCTGACTTCTGCACTGTACTGGACAGTACACAGTCCACAGTGAAGAGTGTATTTCTTGTAATTCTTAGCAATTCTTCATAGAAAAACACTAAGCTACCTTGCTTATATGTTCTCCAAACAGGAGATCAGAATCAGTAGTAATGGCAAACCATGAAGATTTACAATGTATCCAGACAGATTCCAGTATTATGTGTAATCTTAAATTGTATTTGACAAACTTCAGATCAGAGGTGCTGCCAGTTCATATAAGATTATCTATTGTTATATTTACTGGACAGTTTTCTTGTATTTCCATTAAACTTAAGAAACAGATGCAGTCTCAGTAGAGTGGAACCTATGTGATGTCTCAAGGCTGCTAGCAGATGGTGAGTTTAGATGTTTTGTCTGCTGACTTGCCTCGCTTCTGCTTCATCAATGACTACAGTCATAAAAAGCTATGAGGTAGACTACAGAGACATGCTCCTACAAGAGTTAGAAACTGTCTCAACTGAAAAGGTCAGTTCTGCCTTCAAAAGCAACTCTGATGAACAGGAGTTTAATGACCACTGCCTGCTAAAGGTTTTATTACCATGTTGTATGGGACTGGGGTATTTGCCATAAACGTTCTGTCCCTGTTCCACCCCATACTGGCTGTAACGCCACCCTAACACCTTCCTACACTCTTAAAAATAAAGATTTCTATATGGTTCTTGGCGATAATCCACACTCTTAAAAAAGATGGCGCTTCAAGGTTTCTTTGCATCATGAAAGGGTTCTTCAGATTGATGGAGAATGTGCTGTACATGGTTCTATATAGCACCTTTTTGAAAATAATTCTATATAGCACCCAAAAGTGTTCTTCTATTGTTACAGTGTCAAGCTTCTAACAATAGAAGAACCTTGGGTGCTATATAGAACCATTTTCAAAAAGGTTCTACATAGAACCATGTACAGCACAGTCATGCACACTTTCCATCAGTCTGAACTTCCATGAGGAGAAGAAACCTTTAATCATGTAAAGGGTTCCTTGAGTGTTCATGGTTCTATATAGAACCATTTTCTTTACTAAAGAACCCTTGAAAAAACATCTTTTATAAGAGTGTATCACATCTCATTTACAAAAATGGCTCTTTGAGGCGAGACACTA